AACGCGGGGCTCCGGCTGGCCCAGCCTGGCCTGGCTGGCAGCCCCATCTCGCAGGCACAGGTACGAGACACCACCCACTCACCAGCGACCAGGAGACAGGCGAGAACTTCATTACCTGATCGAAACCCCCCAGATTTTCAGCCATGGCTGGCAGAATTGGACTCAGGTGTTTTAGCTACATGTAAAAATACCCTATAAAGCATGCATAAACACAGCATATGGACTCAGCAGCTATATGCACTATCTTTACAGAAGAAAGAGACCCCTGCACTGAACGTCCAGCGCCTTCTTCTCCGCTGTGCCTCCTCCCTCATGGAACATAAGTCACAGCTCCTGTCGTGCTCCACAGCAAAGCCAGCACTAAACATTTTAATAGCAAAGCTTCTAATGTGTTATTTGCTTATTGTTAGGAGTTAATGTTCTACATAATCTGAACATTACATTTAATCTCTTGGCTAAATAAGGCAATAAAAGTATACTACTACTGTGGTGTCCAGTATTTACAGCGTATGAGAATAGTCTTAGTGGGTCAAGCACATTAGCCAGAGAAAGTGGGGTAGTATTTTACAGAGAAACCAGGATTTTGGGGTGAAGCCTAAAGAAGTGTTCCTTTTACACACAGTCATAGCAAAGAAATAAATTAGCTAGATATAAACAACTTGGCAAATCCCTGCACAACCTGAGGTTCTGCACACACTGCTTCCCTTCCCCGTCCCCAGGAAAGGGGATAAGATATCCACTGGATCAAGCACAGATGTTGACACGCGTAAGGAAAGAAATGTGAGAAGAATGGATATCTTTCCACTGGGTGCTATGCCAGCATCCCAGACATACCCACAGAGCGCTCCTCCGCACCAGGCATGAGTCTCAGTAGTTTCTCCAGTCAACCTTAAGGAATAGATATAGGTCATGTAGCCTTTAGCAGCTCCCTTTTATAAATTAATACCCTTTATGTGTCTTGCAGGAAGATAATCACAGTCTAACTTATATCTAGCCTGTCATTTGTTCATGCTATTTAAACACTCCTTCCCCACCTAGGATATTCATGGGTCACATTATGTCTTTCTCAGGTTGCAAAATTTCCTGGGGCAGTCTGTGCGACTCTTGTTATGGAAGTGACTTTCCTGTTTCTAAGTGCATCAAGAATTTGAAACATCTAGATAACCAAAGGTGTTTCACATTTATTAAGTGCCACTTCACTTACAAACGAGGTATGTAACATGCATTCATGTGAACTGAATATTTCTCCAGGAGCTATTTGCATGATTGAACTAGGATGCTGTATATAACACAGGCCATCAGGTTATACACTTTGCCATCTTACACAAAGCCAACTCATAAGATAACAAAGGCCTTTTCAAAAGTGTTTTGTCCATGAGAAATACTTTCAGGGAATTTTTTATAGTACAGAGAAACATGACTATGAAACAGCAAATGTGAGGATTTGCATTATCTAGAACATTGCTAAGATATTTCCCTCAGCACTCAGACCTTAGCCAGCCTCATACTCATGATATCAACATGATATCAGCCTCATACTCATGATATCAACTCTTCATGCTCTTGTTCTTCTGGCTAGATCAGGCCTCTGGTTGCCTGCTATAGAGACTAGCCAATATTTACTGTGAAGGAAAAGATCAAAAATATGCAACTGGCCAATCATGCAGTATTTCCCTAAACACCACTGGTGAGCAGTTTTTGCCCAGAAGCAAGAGACTGGACTTCCTTATCACTTCCAGCCTAGCCACAAATATGTCATCATATTATCAAGCCACTTCTTCAAATCCAGTAATAGCTTTGAACTCTGGACAGGGAATTGATAAGGAAAAAAACAAATACTTTCTGTGGCAAATGATCACAGCTTTGTTTCACTACCTTCTATTTCACATCTTGACAACTGTTAGATGATTTGTGCAGGATTTGGAAATTAGAATTTAGGGTTGCAGTAAGATATTACTTTCCTTCTGTTTCCCGTTGTTTTTACATTCATTGCTACCAGAAGGAGATCACACTGTACCATTTTCAGTTTTCATTGCTAGCTTCCTTGGGAGAATGATATGTCAGAGATTTTAATGCTGATAAATTATGCTGCTCTAGCAATACTTTGCACCTCCATAGTGCATGCCAGAGATCAGAAAGTCTAATGTGTGAATTACTACCTTCTGTAATTTTTAGATGGGGTAAAGAAAAAAAGAGAGAGGAGTTGGTCTCCACAAATACAAGAGAGAGAGAATCCAACCTGGGGTGTGACCGCCGTGCTTTCCTGGTGAGATCATAAGAACATCATCCATTTCTTCTTCATTTATGACTTTAATCAACATTTGATTCTGATCTCCAGACAAACGAGGCTAATCCTACCGTATGAACATTACCTACTCCTCTAGCCTCGCTGCATTCTTGTGAGTTCTAGTAATTAAAGCATTGCCCTTTACATTACATGTTCTTTATATGCTTTGAAGTTTATATTGAGAGCTGTCTAGGGCAGAATTGTGTCTTCCTATGTGTGGGCAGCATTTACCACCAGTAAAAATATCTTAGAAAAGATTAAACTACTAACTTAGGAAGGTTTCATTCAGAAGTTAATAGACTTGTATGAAATGACAATAAATAGAAACCTGCAGAGCCCAAGAATCCCTTCAGAATTTGCCACAGCAGAAAACCATGAGATGCCACAACCTGTGGTGCTGAGGGTCCTTACTTGAGCCTGAACTCAGCCCAGTGCAGAGACACCCTGTCCACACAGGGTAGGGGTACTCTGGAGCGGTTAGCCAGGATGTAGCGCGGCTGCACTGCTGCACAATGTAACGTTCTTTTCCCATGCCGCATTGCGAGATGTAGACACGTTAGCTCATTCAGAACTAGTGCAAAATTTGCACAAATGAGAATAACCGCTTCTGCTTCATTTAGTACAGATTTGTCGTTGTTTAGCCCAAATTACTTTTCAAGTTCTGCTGGAATACAATGAAGCAAAACTTAGGCTAATACTAACATCCTTTTAGGTAGTGGACATAAAGTAAATCATTAAATACCCTTTAAAATGTAAGCAGAGGTACTAACTGTATAAATTCATCCCTTGCACAGCCTAACTTCTGAGCAAGAGGAGATATGTTAGGGTCTTTAGAGTAGAGACAACCATTCTGGTCAAGAATATAGCACCATGCAAACCTGCACAGTTGTATGGAAATTTGCCATCCATCAAAGCCCACAGAAGACTATGGCACAGAACTCAACCAGCCTAGCAAGGAAAAGACATACAGAGCTCGCGCTGTGCAGTGATTTAACTTTTTTAAGTGAAAGGGCCTTGCTTTTCTTGTTTTGTTTCTGCAGTTTTGACTCTGACATCCTCAAGTCTGGAATACAATTGCTCTAATCAGAAGAGCTGACTGAAGTTATAAGACGACACAAAGAACAAAAGCAGAAAAAACCAAAACAAATCCTTTTGAGGAATAGCTTAATCACAACCACTGTTACTTAAGCTAAAACAGGATGGGCACAATTCAAAACAGGACAATTAATTAAGTCTGCTGTGATTTGGGCTGTTTTTTCTTACATATTTGGACAAACCCAAAATCTGATGCCATCGTCTTGCTGCAGATAGAGGAAGGTGGGACTCTCATTTTAATTTTTCCTGCTTATCAATTTTGGCATTTCCAATTACTCTAGAACCTGGAAATAATCTTACATTTTATTATAATATTTGAATGTTTTAATATTATAATCCTTTTATAGCATATGTGCAAACCCATCAGAACCGTATCCCTTTGAGATGCAGGAATTGCGTACTTCCACACACCCTCAGCCAATGATAAGAAAACTGGAAAGAAGAGAGAAAAAGGGAGGGGTGCAAAACTGAGTAGACTGTTAAAGACAGCACAATCTTGATCTCCTGTTTCATTAAACATAAAGTAATGATGCAAGTCGGGAACTGACTCCCTCACCATTAATGTTCATTCGCAGTGAACCCACATGATAAAGTTTTAAAGGTAAAAAGTCAGCACCATGGAAACATAATATATATGAAATAAAAAAAAAATCAATAAATCAAGCTGGATGCACCAAGAGCAGCTTTCTTTGGAAGAGTCCTGGCAGCTCTCAGTATTTTCGAAGCACAACGAGCAAGGAAAACAGGGAGAGGGGCTGGCCAAACACACATGGGGCAAAGCGAAGAGCGTGGTGAGGGTTTGAACCACCGGGACTGGGACAGTGCTAATCCAACAGGAACCCTGAAGAAAGAGACAAAAGTCCTGGTTTATGCTCTTATCCAGAGACCACACAGAATAAACACTATAAAGACGTATCACAGGAACTAGTGAACAGATGGGGTTATTTTTATAGTTCTTCCATATCTTTTTGTTTCAGTTCAAGCAAATCTCAACTACAAAGGACTTGAGAGGATGTCAG